GCTGCATTTATCCTCAATTGATCACCCAACTTTTTGAAAAATATCTATTTTCTACAGTGTAGGGCAGCAGCAGCTGTAAAACGAGCTTGGAAAGAAAGGGGCAGACCAAGACCCGGCTTCCTTTTGCTCAGTTGTTCCAGCACGGGTTTTCTTCTTATTTTCCCCCAGCTCTTTTGTGCATTTCAATTTATTGCCCCAGAACAACAATTCAAGAGTTCTGTGCTACCCACCCACCCAGAATTTTGCTCCCCCCAAAAAACAAACTGGCCTCCCATCCTGAAGCGAAATTGTTGTGCTTAAAAATAACATTTGATGCTAGCAATTGAAATTATGCGTATGCCCTGGTGCAAAAATATTTCGCATGCAGCGCCATCTGTTGTCGGAGTGACCTGAATTGCGGAGTGATGTGGTTGTATGGTTCTAGTTTACAAAATATTTTTATGGAGTGTTCTTCTTACTTTGTATGATGTGCTTGTAAATAGGGAAATTTCTCAAATTGCTTCTATTCATCAAGGAAAATGATGGCTTTCAAATTAAACCAATCATTTTAGCTTACCAACTCGTGTTAATAGCCACAAAATACCACATAATTGAAATAAATGCTTCTTCTATTTCCTTTCGCTCTTCCATGATTGGTTTCCATTCACCAAAATTTCGGCAATTCAATTCTATATCTTCTCCGTTCGAATATTCGCATAACCAACTGCTTAATTGCATATCTAGTGAACTAATCTGGGCGCTGTTCACTGCAACCATCCACAATTAATGAGGTACACAATGGCAGCCAAGTCAAAGGGAGTAAACAATGCAGTCGAGCGAAGGCAAGACTCCCCCAATTTCCAAACTATTAGTTGCCAGGGAACAGGTTGCTTTGGCGCTGGACCAAAAATGCCCGAATTCCGATGGTGATTCAATCAATAGAGGCGAAACACGTGAACTTTGAACTGACCTAGCCCACAAAAAGCCAGAGAGAAAACGGTGGAAGTGCGGCGAGAAATCGAGAAAAGGGAAACGAATCGAATCGAATTGAAAACGTTGCACGAAAAGTGCAACAAGAGGCATGCAACAAGGGAAAGGTAAACACTCGGACGGAAAAAATTCAAAGATACAAATGTGGTCAGAAAAATAGTATACCAAATGAGAAACAAACTCTTTTCTGATAACAGAAAATTCAACCTATTGTTTTAGTTAGAGAATATAAAATTTTATAAATATGTTACAAAATGTTTTTTTTTTTATGCAAATAATTTTTTTTTAAATAAATACAGAAAATGTTAATAATGAATAATTAAAATATTTAATCAAGTTTAAAAATTTTTTTTTTGTAAATTTTTTGTACTTGAAACCATTTATATGTCTCAGATACTTGTGGGCCATTTTTAGGCGTGGCACTCGAGAGGCCTTTGAAAGTGGGCGGAGTAATAAAAAACAAGGCAATACTATTTGTCTGCATATATATTGATTTACGCAACGATATACGGCGCTTTTTGTGTGAAAGATACAATGCTGCTGAAATATTGAAATCAATTGCAGGTTTCTTTTTCGGGTTTTTTAAGCGTTTTACTGCTGCTTTTTTTCTTCGTTTTTTTTTTTTTTTTGATTAATTGGCAATGGCCAATGCAAATGCTGTTGGCCTTTTGGCTGGGGCACAGATACAGATACAGATGCAGATATACAGAGCCACAGTTACAGATACAGATACAGTTGCATTGTCAACGTTCCAAAACAGCCCCAGCAGCGTATGGCATACAATTTAAAAATGTATCCAAGAGATACATTACACATTACGGCCATGGCTTGCCAAGTCTTGACTTGGAAATTCCCTTCACTGCATTCTTTCCCACACCAGAGCCAGACAAAAGAGCAGATATATATGTTTGTGTATAAGTAGAGGTGGGTTCGGTGGGTTTGGGGGCGCTATATAGATACTTTTCGGGCCTTTGGTCTTTGCTAGTTTTGGTTAGTTGACTGCAGGGCTTACAAGACACCCCGCTTCCGCCGACTCCGCATCTCCATCTGGTTCTCAGACTAAGACTGAGTCGTCGCCGTAGTCATTCGCATTGTCGTAAATTTTATTAGAGTGTAGTGTAGCATCGTCATCATCATCATCGCGTTCATGATGATGCGACCTAACACAATTCTTACTTAGTTTGCATTTTAGCTTATGGCTTTTGTGTTTTACTCGCTCCAAAAAAAAAGAAGAAAAAAATAAAAAGAAGAAGAAGCGAAAAAATACATACAACCATAAAACGTTTCGCATTTCAAAGGCCACACACATTATTATTATTTTGCAGCTATTACTTTGGGTTATTTCTCAAAAGTTTTCAATTTATTTTTGTGCGGAAAACTGATACGACTCTGACTTGGCGCTCTGAGTTATTGCCTTAACATAAATGCCTGTGCTCAAAGTGTCCAATTACGTTTTGTTTTTGGTTTTCGCTTTGTCAAAGTTCAAAATCTTATCACTCAGAAAACCAAAATCTCGTTTATTGCCTTCTGTCTTGGGTTTCCTTGGGGTTATCAATTATGCTGCTACTTAATGTTTCAGACCGGCTTTACAGATTTTAATTAAAATTTTGCTATTCATTCAAAGGTTGATTTTTATTTAGTTCAGTTAATAAAAGTTTTTAATTTTTTTTCACTTTCAGTTTTTTCAAACAAAAATGTAAATTTGTCTATATATTAAAAATTAAATTATATATAGTCCATTTTTAAAAAGGTCTTTACAACATTTTTGTAGTAAACTTACATCTGAAAAATAAAAATTCAACAATTTAATAAAATTTAAATGCTTCAAATTATTTGCCAATTTCAAGCTAAAGTCCCAAAACTCGTTAATTATGGCCCAGAAATGCAAATTTCGCATGAAAATTCAGCAATCGTGATTTTGTATTCAAAAAAGAAGAAAAACAAATATAAAGAACAACTGTTGCAGAAGTTTTCAAATTTTGGGCGACATAATGCAATTAAAAATATTTGCACAGCGAAAACTAGTTCAGAAAATCAATTTCAAAATTGCTGAAACTGGAAAAAATATGCAAAACCGGGAAATCACACAAATTTCTGCCAACTCAAATAGCTCTTGTGATATTTTTTTAAGAGCGGCGCTCTTTAAATCTGTGGTCTTCAGTAAATTCTCTTTAAATCCAACAAAAAAATAAAATAAAATAAAATGCACTGAGAGGAATGCCGGTTTTTGGGCAAGAGTGTGTGCGTGGCCGAGTCGTATCTGTGTGCTTACTACGCTGCGGTGACGGTCGTTCGTTCGCTTTTGTATCTCTCAGATAAATCGCTCTTACCCGCCTGTGTGTAGTAAATATTCCGCTCAGCTGTGCTGCGGGTCTATATGGTATTTTTTGTTGTTTTTCCGTTTTCCTTACTTGCTCGCCCGCCCAACAACAAATGACATATGCGGGGCCCCCGAGCGAAAAAGTATCTTCCAGTACCGCCTTCCAGTTTTGAGATACTATTCGGGTTCGGTTTCGGTCTCGGTTCCAATGAGAACGGACTTCGGGCTTCGCTCCAGTCGTGCACCGATTCGGATCGGCGGCTGCTGGCAGTCCGATATTAACTCTCAAACTGTACGGTTTGGCAGCGCAGCTGAAAAGCGGAAAACTGAAGAGGAAAAGCGGCGAAGAGGGGATCGAGGAAGGGCAGCGCGTCGTGTGTTTTCATCCTCCTTCTGCAATAAACAATAGTTGTTTCTACAAGTTAAACAATTAAAAGTGAGTGTAAAAAAAGTGGTGCAAAAACAAAAAAATTAAAAAAAAAGAATTAAAAATTTAGTAACATAAAAACTTCCACGTAAAATGTTTTCCTTAAAACATTATCAACAATTTTAAAACCACAATCGAAAACATTTTCAAAAAAAAAATTTAATCTAAAATAAAAAAATATTCAAAATTAATACTGAAAATTAAAATTACACAACCTTATTGTTGTTTCGCCTGGCATCCTGTTCTATTGTGCAAAAAAGAACGCTATATAATAAAAAAAAAAACAGCAACACAGTCGCCATAATCATAAATAATAACACAAATTTCGTGTGACGTTTTAGTTAATGTTCAACAAAAAAAGAGAATGATAAAGAAAATAAACAACAAACAAAACCAACCACTTTTTCAATTGTAATTTCCGGTGTAGCGGAATTTCACTGTGCATTGTGTGGGACTGTGTGTGTGAGCGAGTGTGGGAGAGAAAATCAAGAAGGAAAAGAAAGAAAATCAGAAAAAAAACATAAACAGCCCAGAACAACGTGCTCGTGTGTGTGTATATGTGTGAATAAGAAAACTGAGCCCTATAAAAAAACAGTCCTAAGAAAAGTGCAAAAATGGCCTTTGGTTTATTGAATTTATAGTCGACTTTTGACTTTTTTTTTGGCCCACATTGAGGTTACATAAAAATTCGCAAAAAACCATTTCATTTTGGGGTCATCATAAAAAATGTTTTACATTCATATAATTATCTAAACAACATTGTTTATACTTTGTTTGTTTGTTTTGCAGTTATTTTGTGCTTGCCAATTTAAACATTTTCAAAAATTGCAGGCAAAAGCTTTATGGGTCGTTTAAAAATGCTAAAATATGTACTTAGAACTTATGTTAGCTAACTAGTGCTTGGTAATTAATATATTGCCGTTTCTAGTTTCTAGCTGCATTACTCAACGCTTTCTGGGAATTCTAGCTCAGCTGAACAAATAATGCAAGGCGGTTCTCAGAAATTATTTTCATTTTGATGTTTTCACTTTACATTTTTTCTTCGAATCACAGAAAAACATTTAAATCTAAGTTTTTGCCCCATCAATATATTTTACTATCGTCAACTTTTATTACTTGCTAAGCTTCTCAGTAACAACCAATTACCGATGGAGTCCAGCCAATAATCTGCAAGAAACTTCAACTGTAATTGGCTTATCAAAGTTTGCCTACAGGAATTATGACCCAAAAACTGACCTAACCTAATCTCAAGTTGGACTGCAGGCAAATATTTCCCGAAACCTGCAGACCTTCAACTCTGCTATCTTGCAGATACTCTAAGTAAGCTGCCCATCAATTTTGGATAGAAAACTTTTCAACGTGCAGAAACTTCAAGGCCGCAAAACTTTGATTAAACATAATCCAATTCTAAGGAAAATAAAGTGCAAAAAAAGGTCAAAGCTTCAGAGAGATTTCCACTCCCCCAACTTTCAGCTAATTAACATGGAAAATTTCACCAGAATATATCGCTCTACTCATGGCGAACTTTTAGATTATTTTGGTCGGGGGCGGCGCCATAAGTTTCTAGAATTTATAGAGTCGAAAGCTTTCTATCGATAGATAAAAATGGCGAGCGAGAAGCAGATACAAGTGCTTGTAGATACAAAGAAACAGCCCCAAACAAACAACAAAAATCACTCCCGAAGGGGTATAATAAACAATTAAAAATTATTTACTTGCTGCTATCGAATTATAAACAAGCGATTCCCGAGTAACCTCAATTTGGGTCTAAAAACAGCAAAACTTTTACCTAATGCATAATTTTATTTTTCAGTCTGTGTGGGCTAAAGTGCAATACAAAAATCGAACACTGAAGCATTCCAATTAAACTAACAATCAAAGTGCAATACAAATAAATCCAGCTAAAAATCAACGAGAATATTTACATAAGCTGTGTTCATAAATAGATTTGCCCAAATCACGCAAAACAAATTGAATTAACTCTTTTGTCAGCAATAACATTAAATACATATAACAACTACGACTAAACTTAATAAGCATTTAAAAAATAACAATAACAATTTTGTGCAATTTAAATAATAACTATAATCGTATACAAAAATTAAAAGCCTTTAAAAGGTCAACAGATATTTGCTAAATACTTTTGCGCTAATCAAAAATACAACTAAATACTTTGTAAACTCCAATTAGCTAAATTGTTATAAAATAAAATTTATAGAATAACCATTAAACAAGTAATAAACATTTTATAAAGCGCCAAGGTTTTTAAAAAATATAAAATTGCTAAACAATTATAAAACAACTTTAAATGCATATTGCTGGGACGGATAAAGTATAAAATACTAGCTGCCGATTTTTCATCATTGTAAGTATGAATAAAAAACTAAAACAGGTCTTAAATTTTTTAGACGCCTAGAAATACTTGAAAAATCCAAAAACGTTATTTCCTTGCTGGTCCTGGGGTTTTTGCGTACACAACTATAAAGGATAGGATTTTGTATATAAATGAAGTTTAACCTGACTCACTGCTGACCTATTTTATTGTTTTTTAAATGGAAAATGGTGGTCAGGCTTACCAGGTTTATTTCTAAGTGGGTCAACAAATTTTCACTTGATTGCCAAGGAGATCTAACTTTTTATTTTATTGCGAAAAAAACAGATATAGAGATATACATTTTATAGTGAACCCCCTGTTATTCGAGTGCTTTTCACATAAGAGGCTTACTAGACAAACAAAATCCCCATCAAATAAATTTAACTCAATTGCCCAAACATTCCCCAATGGCTGAGCGTTGATTTTAGATTGCTGATGATGATGATGTCGTTATTATTGTTGTTGAGGCTTACGTGTAAACTTTTATCTGCACTTAGATTTTTGACATACAAATTTATTGTTTATGCCCCGTGATAACAAAAAAGAAGAACATGCAATTTAGTAATTATTAATTTTACGGTCTGTTTGAGTTTGCCTACACTACACACTGTACGTGTGAATCTGAAGAGTTTGTTTTGGCGAAAACGCTGGAAAGAGTTGCCTGCACAAGTGCACCGCCTAACTGTTGATCATTTCCGCTCAGTTTCGGCCAAAAAAAACTGACCAACTGTGTCGGAGGTCGGTGAACTTTTCTTTAGCGGCCCAAGTTGCGTGTTTGTTTAGGCCCGAAAATCCCACCGTCGCTTTATTGCGGTTATTGACTTTCAACTCATTCCGCTTCTTCGTCTTCATCTCTTTTATCTGTTTGGCCCACACACACTTGTCCATCAGCATTCTGGGCCTAATTTCCTTTTCGGGTTTTGGGTGTGTTCGCCACATAAAAAAATACATGGAATGCAAGAACAAAAATTAACATAATCAAATTTACTTTTTTACCTCGCGAACACGTTTCGTGGCCGAAATAACAAAAAAAAAGTGAAGACCATTATTTAATTTTCGTGTCAGTCGGCGCAATGCTCCAACGAATGGCATATTGAGGGTTAGCAACTGAGGGTTATTTACACCTGCCAATGGGTTTGACAAGGTGAGCTCTCTATAGTGGTCTATAAATAGATTAGGCAACGAGTGCCGCTTGAAATGGGTTTGTTCTAGGCTTTCGAGCAAGTAATAGTCTTGGATTTTTGATTGAGAAGGGCGTCTTTAATGTCCGAAATCTTGGGATAGGTTTTTACAGGTATATTTACCTGCTTTTGAATTTTTTTCTAAATATCAACCTGCTTTATTCATGGTAAAATGCAACATACCTTTATAACTGTGGTTTAAATTTGTCTAAACATTTTATTATATTAAAATGATAAATAATAAAATAAATATTTAAAATTTGGCTGGCCTTTACTTATTTGCCAATTTTTCCAATTCCAATTTACAAATCCCCAATGCATTTTATTTTTGGCTCCTCTTGAAATCCAAAGTTTTTATTAAAAAAATTAGAGAATCCTCCGCAAGATAGGCATGCTTGGCACAAATTGCGAGTTGGTCGCACAATTTCCGCAGCGACTTAGAATAGATTCGATCCGCAAGAGACAAGCTCCCAGAACCAGATCCACATGCCTATCCCAGGAGCATCGTCTGTGGCGGCAGAGAAACCAAGTGGAAATCCAGCAATTGGCCAAGGTGATTGGCTACTGTCCCGAGCAAATTGACGGGTTTCTCTTCGAGCTCAGCCTGCAGAACTACAATCATCTGCTGAACCCCAAGGGCTGTGGCTGGGATGCCTGCAATGTGCCACTTTGCTTTCCAGATGTCTGTGATCGCTATATGGCCATATTCGATCATCATGGCAACTTAAGAAATCCCATCCAGTCGAAGGCCCTCGATAGTTTACTTCCCATGCTGTTGGACTATTTGAATGATGACCGAAGGGATTTGCCAAAATATCCTTTCAGTCATCAAGCAAATGGTTTAGAATCGAGTTTGGAATCTTCGGATTGGATCATTCATACCTTTGGCAGTTCAGTGTTACCACAGAGGGTGAAAAATACCATTAATAATCATGACCTACAAACGGTGGAAAGAATGGAGCCAGAATCAGAATCTGAGAAGGCATCTCTTGAAGACTTGCGTAAAAAAAAGAAAAAGAAAACATTCGGACGAAAGTCTCTCTTTCTCAACGACGAACTGGCCCTAGCTTATGCCAAGCCAGATGAGTATGTGGAGTTGCTGATGAAAGACCTAGGGCGACATCGCCTCAAGGGCAGCTATGTGGGTCCTGTGGGAGATTTGAGGACAGCACGTATTCGCATTCTAATCAGGGAACTGATCGAAAAGAAGGGAACCAATATAACCTATGAGGATCTAAGAAAGGCCCTAAAAAAGGTGGATCTAGAGTGGAAAAGAACGGCCAAAGCAGATTATAAACGTGAAAAGAAAACAGCTGTGGAGATCTCGAAATTGTACAACGCCATTGTGCAGAGAAATTCGGAGCAACCAATACGGCCCTTCGTTCTAGGAAAAGTCCGTGACAATTACCCAAAGGTGCCGAGAGCTTCGAAACTTCCCCGCAGATACTTGGCCGATCAGGTGCCCATACTCTTCCATGAGCCCTTTGATCCAAAGAAACATTGGACCTGGCAGCCCCGACATCCGAGACAAACTCGCCTAAATTCCAAAAACAAGTTCTCCACCTCCAGGATCAAACGCGGATCTGTAAAGGATCAAATAGATCAGTATGCGGATCGGTATTCCATTCACTCGACTATTAGTGATAAGTATAGATCCGGGGAGCGAAAGTCGCTGGAACCCCAGTTTGGGGAACCTAAAAAATAGTGCAAAAATTAATAATATTCTGTATATAATATGCAATAAATTCGTATTGTAATGCCCAAATTTTAAATATTTTATATTTTTATTTAAATTATTTTTGGTACAATAAATTCGTACTTTTATCCCTTGATTTTATTTATTTCATATTTTGTATTTAATTTATCTTTTGTGAATTAAATTCAATAAATTCGTAATGTTATCTCTTCATTTTTGTAACATGCCCAGTATGCATAGGAATATTTTTCGTAGACAAATAACATTCCAAATTACTGCCTTATCCGGGCAACTTCAAAATTGTTCAGTTTTTAATCACCTTTCCCTTTCGAAAACCTCAAGACGGTCGGGCCAAAATGAATTCCTGCTGCTGCAGATCGCACAGCGATCGCACAGATCCGATGGCCTGTCTGCCGCAGTTCGCCTCCAGTCGCCTCCAGCGGGTCCAAAGTTGTAGGCCATATTTGGAGGGTCGAAGGGCCGCCAGTTGTTGTGTGTCGAGCGAAAGGCGTTGGGGTCAGAGGAACGGGGGAATGATCCAGTTGCTGGCCAATATGGTAAACAAATCGACCAGCTCGGTCTGCCAGTTCCTCCATCAACTGACCCTGCAGCTCTTCGCCAGAATTCTATATCCCTTAATTTTGGGCTGGAATACGCTCAAGATACCATTCGTTCTGCCCGATACGTGTGAGCTTTACTACGGGATATTCGATGAATGCGGAAATCTGAGGAAGCCCATTCCCACACGGACGTTGCTCATCTTGATAACCATGATGCAGTACTTTCTGAATTTACCCAAAGTATGCAAGCGAAATAACAAGTGTTGTTCGGGATGCAAGAACAAGGACGATAGTCTTCAGAATATTCACAATCCTGGTTATTGCGGCAAGGATGCCATGTTACCATTCTCGAGAATCGGGATGCCAGGACAACCGAAATCGAAATCACCGGGTAGCGAAGTGTGGGCGGGACTCAGGCGATTGGGTTACCAAAAAGGTGGCGATCTGGAGAGCTATCCCTCGGATGAGTCTATACCATATGGCTATGCGCCGGCACGATGTCCCTGTCAGTCTGGCTATTACAATGAACAGAGGTCCAGACGGGAATTTAAGAATCCCTATGCCAATATGACGGCGGAAATGAGATCCCAGGCCTGCGAGGAGATACTGCAAAGTCCCATGTTGGCCAACGATTGCGTACCGAGTGCGAGATCTCAAATGGCAGCCCTTTCCCCTCAAGCAGCTCAACTCGTTCAGATTTCGCACATCTCGGATCTATATGCTGCAGTTGTACAAAATCAACATTCTAGAAGGTTACTTCAAGACGGAAAACCGCCAAAGCCAAGGGTAAAACCCTGCACTGAAAACCGACGCAGATTCTCCGGTGGCTTCATGATGCCCGAACCCTATTTCAATGGAATGCCATGGAGCTGGCTGCACAGGGATCCACAGCGAAGGGTGCGATTACCAAGTGGAGGTCTTCCCACGGATGTCGTCCCATGGAAATATAAAGAGTACAATGATCTCGGATATAAATATGAGAATTTTAGCAGACTGGTTAACCCCTTCAAGGAGAGCAGCCTCTTGCCCATTGAACCAAAAAGATTCCAACCCGTTAGCTGGGAGCAAAAGATCAAGGATCTTGGAAAATTTCCTATTAAACTTCCTCTTGGGGAAAAGAGGAAATTGGAGTGGGAGGAGCTCTTATTAAAGAGAGTAACTCCAGCTGGAAAACCCAAGGGTGGCTTTGACTATTGGAGTGAGATGATGGAGAGAAATCAGCTGAGAAGGACAATCGATAGAGAACGTATACGAAATCCGATATTCCCGATAACAAGAGAAAGAAGTTATTCTCCAGCGGGTAAAGATATTGCCCGAATGATAATGCCAAAAAGTAATAACTCTCTAAAATCAGCAAGGAAAACTCCAAAGAATTCATTCGAAAATAAAAAACCTACATCTACGAATCAGACTAAAATTAAACGGATAAACAGTGGACGAAAAGATAATGTTTCAGAGAAACCAATAAAGGAGACCAAACCAAGAGAACGTCACATCAAAAAGTCTGTTAATAATATTCTGCAATATGAAAAGATTGAAAAAAGCAGTAAACGAAATTATCCTGATCCCGAGGATTACAGAAAAGAAATTTCTAGAAATCGACGGTATCATAGAAAAATTGCAGGAGAGTGTCTCATGCTTATAAAGCCTTATAAAGAAAATATTCCAGCAGAAGATCTAAAAAAGAAAATCAAACGGCGAGGTACATCACCTGAAAGATTTGTCCCACCTGGAGGTGGAGATCATAATCCAAAGTATAGTAAGACCCAAGATGTTCGACCCAAACCTAAGGGGCTTTTAAAAGGAACTGATGATAGAAAAATAATATTTAAACCCAGGGCAAAGTCACCGGAAAGTGATATTAAAAAAATACGATTCCAGTCAAATGATTTAACAGAAAAATCTAGAAAATCTCAGAAGATATATTATGGGAGTACCAAAAGCAAAACTAATGAACTCCAGGGACTTAGCTCCAATAATCGAACTAAAATAGCCCATTCAAGAGGAGAAAGTACAGAAAAGGATGTACTAAATAATAGACGCAAGAAAAGTACAACATTTAGTAATATGTTATAACAGACATGTGAAATTAATCTATATATTGTTATTGGGGAAAATCAGGGGCCTGACCGCCTATTAAATTTACGTTTGAAGTGTGTACTTGTTTGTCGTTAGAAAATCCCAACTCATCAAATTTGAGAGAAAATGGGTGTCCACCTGCGCTGATTGAAAGCCGCAACATTGCAGCATGGTTGCGGTGTAGTTAGCTGCGCTTTTCCGCATTTCATTTGGGCACAGAATGCCGATAATGTTAATGATGATGATGATGTGGCCGATGCCGGTGCCCCGCTTAAAAGCTTTTCCTTTAAACCTTAGTTCGTCGTATTTTCTATATTTCCCGGGAGTTGAGTTAGCTCAAATTTTCCCCTTTTTAGCCAGTTTATTTGAATATTTTCGTGTGTTTGAGGCTGGATTTTGGCTCATTTTGACGCGTTTACTGTTCTTTGGGGCCCTATAACGCTGCCCTCCCCCTGAAAACTGAGTTATTTGTGTGTGTGTAGAAGAGCTGGAGGCCGTAAGCCAAAAGGCAAACGTTTTGTGGCCAAAACGCAATTTTCCCTCTAAAGCCAAGCGGCGTATTGGTAACAAGTGCCTCTCACTTTGTTGGCCCCTGGGTGGGCCTATCAACTTGGTCGGCTGAACGGTCGGGCTTCAAGAGGAAGCAGATTAGATATTCATACGAGACTCAAGTAACGGGGCTCCCCAAGTTTTCTGTATAAATTTTGAATAAATTGTGGAAAATTAGCAGCTGGAAAATGGTTTACAGAGGGAGTAACTCAGTTTTATGAGGAAAATTGGTGGATGTAGTTTGTTGGTCCTTTTTGATTTGTATAAATTAACTTCTGCCTTTCAAAAGAATATTAATATCTATTTAGAGCTTTTGATTGTATTAAATAATTTTGGGGTCTTTCATCTTGCAAACACTTATGATTTTTATTTATGTTGAACAACTAAATCAAACCAGCTTGGGTACCAAATTTCATCACCACAGCACCCTTAGAACCCGAGTTACTTGAGGTTACACCACCCTTGGTCTCTCCCCCCAGCATCCTTTTGCACCCCCCTTCCCGCCCCTATCTTCGCTCGCACTGTCGCCATAGTGCTTATCAGTCTGATGTGACTGTGATGATAATAATTCAGAGTCAAATATCTCGCGACGTCTAGTGGCCAAGTCATGATTTATGGCATTCCATTCGAGACTTAAACAATACGATAATTATTTATTAGAGTGGAGAGTGGAGACCCCTCCGCAATCCCACTAGTACTTTGTGAGCGCTGCAAACATACAAATATGTGTATATAAATAATAAGTTTTTGTTTGGCTGCAATGACTTTGCCCAGTTACAGAAACAGAATCCCCGGTTGCCCCTCATGCGGCAATTTATAATGTTGAGTGCCAAGCAGTTAGGAGGGATGGGAATGGGGATAGGGATCCCCCTTCCATATATATAGTACTTTTATACATTTCTCTATAAATGCTGCTCGTATATTGGGAGTACGGAGTACGGAGAGTAGACAGACAAGAGTCGCCCTGACAAAACCAGTTGGAAATGGCCTGGCAAACGGAATTTATTGCAATGGAGTGCTGAAAACTAAATCATCATCTTCCAACCGAGGGTCCAGATGGGGGGCCAGAACAATTGATACACTCTCCACCAGCTCATTTAATATTTATGCGCATTTAGCCGGGCACTTTTTCCATGCGAAATCGCCATAGTTGTTGGGCAATAGTTTCAGTTGGCCCATGCGTATATATATGAGAGCAAAATAAATACATTTTTTATCTCCATTTTATTATTTTTGGCTCTGCTGGTAGGCATAAATTATGCACATACAAGGGAAATATTTAACGCCTTTCAAACGAAAAAGAAAAACGCTTCGAGACCCAGAATATGGCATATATATTAGAGGAAAACCCAGCAGAAACCTCAAGCAGGCATCTATAAAATAAAAGTAAATTGGTTGTCCGGCTTTGGTTTCCCCAGCATCCGTATGCCCAGCATTTTGTTTTCCCATTTTTTTTCCTCCTTTTCCTTTTTTTTCCTTTATATATTTTTGTTGTGCGTTTTTCCTTTTTTCGCTCGTGTCGAGTCGTTCAAGCTGTGGCATAATTTTTACGCATTTGCTTGGACCCCCCGGCAAAAGTGTTGATAAAAAAAAAATGAAAAGCAGGAGGCAGTATAGCAGGGTGGGCGTGGCGGCACACGCACAGACTTCCTGCTTGAACTACTACTACTAAAAAAGAAAAAAATAAATAATAAAGAAAAATGCTGGAGCCGGGCGAAAAGTTAAACAATTCATGGTCGAAGCTTTATGCTTTATACGCAAAACTTTGCTCTTTGATTTCGGATGTCAAAGCATCTCCACTCTTTTCGGTCGTCGTTTTTTCGTTTTTGTGTGCGGAAGAGCGCTTATCTATGCGGCCTGCCAAGACGCACATCAGCGAACTACAATGATTTTAGGATGCCCTTGTGGATAAAGGGGGTCTATCGAAAAGGGCTACCAAAATGTTATGAAATTGATTATACTAAATAAGAAAAATTCAATTATTTGTGGAATTTGTTCATTAGTTTTTTCGAACTTTATCCCTATTTATTAAAATATAACTTTAAATTATAAATCTTACTTTTGGTAAAAACTTTAATAGCCATATTATATGAATATTCAATTGTTTAAAAAGTAAAGAAACTTCTAAATATTTTTTTGAGACTCTAATGAAGAATAAAATCTTCACCACCTTAAATCTAATTTTTAAAATTGTATGTTGTTTGTGTATTTCTTTTAATAAAACTGTTGGATATTTTAATTATAATAAAAGTAAGGGTAATTCGGCGTTCGTCCTAACCAAATTAACAAATCGCACATTCTTGCTTGTTTTATGTTTATTTGTTTGGGGCCGCGACGCTTGCCAAAAACCAAGGCTGTCTGTCTATATATCTGTGATGTCCCTGCCGCCCCTTTTTCGCCCCCTTTACTGCTGTCTCTTTCTCTCTCTCTACCCCCCTTTATAGCCATCTCTTTCGCCTCAGTGCAAGCTCGTTTTGTGTGAGGCCAAAATCCACTTAAATCGATAAAAACTATCAAATCTGTGCGGGGCGTGTGCCTTAGTTGTCGGTTTTATTTTTTTTTTTTCGTTTTTGGGCTCTTCTTCTCCTTGTCCCTTTCCCGGCGGAGTCTGAAGCCGGAGCTTCGTCACTCATACGCCATGTGCGCCGTCTCCAGCGTCGTCGCCACTCATTTTTCGCCCATGTTGCGTATGTTGTCAAGTCTCTTCCGTTTGCTGCCGCTCACTGAAACACAGTGCCTGTTTTCTCTCCGTGTATGTGTGTTAGCCTTTTTTCTTGGCATCGGTTCGGCCGATGTGCTCAGCATTATTGCTGTTGTTGCCGCTGGCATGTCCGTTTTGGCATGGACTTGGCCCAAACTCATTGTTTGAGGGAGCCCCAAACCCGCAGAGCCCCCAAACCTACAACCCCGCTCCCATTTTGTTCGATTTTCCTCTTTCTTCTTTTTTCGGGGTGGTTCGGTTAGGCAGCAGCAGCATTTCCGTTCTTTTCCGCTGTTGTCAAGCAGCTAACATACTCCATAGGCGCCGGCATTTGAGCAAATTTACCCCCCAAACAGACCCAATCGAAAAATCCAAATGAGATATGTGTGTGCCCTTCTCAAAACTATAATGCTAAATGACAAAATATGACAAATTAGAATAAAAAAAGAAGCTCGGCGAAAAGGAAAATAAAATATATTCGCTCAACGAATTTTATGACATTTGTCATGGAAATCTTTCCATTCGGCTGATTCGTCTTTTGTCTGGCCAATTTTGCGGTCGCCTCACATGACGGCTATCAGTTGGGCCTCCTCTTATACTACTCATACTTCCCGAAAAGCCTGCATTAATACAAAAATCACGCACTCGTAAATGCTCCTTTTATAGGCATTGCGTGCCGAGATTTTACAATGGCTGTGAAAATAAAGAAATACTCGAAAGAAGATTAACAATAATCGGGGAGCTAATCATAGTGTAATTATGTGTCACTTTAAGTAGAGTACTCGAGAGCTTTATAACTCTAAAGAATCTATAGTTGGTTATATAATTAGAACACAGTTGCTGCTATACAGCCAAATAGTTGCTGGCTAACTTTTTAAATTTAATAAATCACAACTCTATTCTCTTTTAAAGTTTTTCAGTTGACCAGGAATTTTTTCATTCAATTTTGTAAATTTTCCGAACAAAAAGATACAAGAAAGTGCTTGATTTTATTTGTTTGACATACATTTTCCAATTATTTTCTGCATTAAAAGTTTCCGTCAACTTTTTACTATGTCAACTGCAGTCAAAAATAACTCAATTTTCATGATTCTAAAAAACGATTGCAGCTTCCAAGGGGTTACAATTCACCACAATACAAAAACGTATTCATATTAGTTGCAAAAAATAAACAAATAAAAGTTTCAAACAAAACAATTTTAAACCAAATTAAGACAGAAACAAAAAGTGGATATTATTATCAAAAAATTTAGACTAAACGCAAAAAACGGTGAACGAGTTTGCCGGGGGAAAGCAGGAAAAGCAGAGGTGGTAAAGGGTTTGTGGGGTAAATCCCCCTTGACAAAAAGTAGATCTCGGTTATAATTGGGGGAAAAACCTCACGCC